ATAATGATTGAAATTCTTGGGAATTTCAAATGTTACTAGGAAACACAAAGTGAATATGGCAAAAATTAATAATTGGTATTAATTCTGCCATATTGGGGGGGTAATTGTTGACACGCTAAAAGTGCAGCCTAAATCGAATAGCCCAAAGAATGAAGCCCAACTGGGCAATTCAGGATAAAGGCCTAAATAGAGTTATTAATGAATGCAGTGGAAGCCCACGAATGTGGTAACACCATCGCCCAAACTTGCAAGACGCCTAAGATCTGAGCGAAAGAAGTGCCTTGCAGTCGCCCAGGGTTATGACCCTATTCTCGCCCAAACCTTCAAATCGCCCAGGATCTTAGCAAACATAAGATGTTATGGTTATCCAAAAGTGCAGTTATTGAAATTGTTATTAAGTAATCTTATTACGTTTCACGATTCAAGGATGTTCAGTTGAAGACGGTTGAACGACAAAGAGTAGTGGCAGCGGTTAGGGACGGCAGTTCCACGATAAGTTGGCCAACATGAAGAAAGTGGGCAATTGTAAAGCAATTAAGCAGTTTCTAAGCGGTTGATCACGAAGAAATCATCAAGGGAATATAAAAGGAAGAAAAAACATAAAGCAAAGGACCCCGAATCAAACACTCTCAAACAGAGAATATGTAATTTCAATTTTTTAGTTTAGACTTAAACATTTCTTTCAGTACTCGTGTGCTTGCGCCCCTTAGAGGCATTCTGTTTAAGTTCCAATTGTAAAGTCATCGCCAATAAAACACCCTTTTTTGGGACTTTGTTTCAAGAGGTTTGTTCCTTACACAATTGTCTGATCTCTTTTTAATTGTTAGCGACTACCCGCGCGAAACACCCATTAAAGAACACCCATGAAAATTCGAGAAAAAAATTCACTTAAAAAGTGAAAAAGCACCAAAAGGCATACCGTAGCGATCTTGATTTCATCTTCAACTTCGTGAAGCTTGTTATTTATCCAGCTCTTCTATCCTTTGATCCTCTCCTCCATGGGTGTCAAAGGCATGAGCTGATATGGAAGAGCTTCCTCGAAAGAATTTTTTGACTCGGACTGTACTATAGGCACCAGTGCACCCATTGAAGTACTTTCCCTCCCATTTTTATTTGACCACAACAAGGACAGTTTTCAACCCTCTCTCCGTCTCTCAGTGTGTGGAAGTGCAGAATAAGGTAACAAAGGAAATGAATTGGGGCTCGAGTTGTGAGATATTTACTTGGAGGAAGATATTACGAACAATGACAGAACTAGTTGTGAATAGTAAAGAAATCAGATAAGTGTGAAACGGTGGGTACACAAATGAACAATGAACCCTCATCATCTCTTTTAAGAGAACTAGTTTTTGCCCGTGCAATGCACGGGTTGAGTTATTTTGAAGGCAACGCTAGTGTGTTGAACGTGTTGAATTCTCATGAATAACATCTAATGTTTGCTATGATTACATTGAGATAAACTTTCCTTATTGAGCATACAGAGTCTTATTTATCTGATTCCAAAACACAAAAAATCATTTTACATGTTGGACTAAGGACAACCAAGTTACTGAAAAAAGAAGACAAATAATACAATTTTTATTCAACTTGTGAACACAAATACTCTTTTCGTGTATATGTAAAGACAATAGCTCAAAAGGAAAACCTTCAACATGGAAGCATGTCTTTATAAATCATGTAAATATACATTAAGTTCACATATTCCAAGTTGGAAAAACTTTGAGCAATCTTAAAGCAATAACAGACTTGTATATGGGGGCATTTCCCTTTTTTTTTTTTTTTTTTTTTTTTTGGGAGGGGTTTTTTTTTGTGCAAATAAAACACTTTTTTTTTTGGGGTTTTCTCTTTTTTTTTTTTTTTTTTTTTTTGTGGGAACGGTTTATATTCGGAGAGGGCCGGGGCTAAAATAGTTTCAAAAGATTTGGAGTTTATTAATTTAACATGGACTTTTATTAAATTTATTGTGCTTCCACTGTTTAACTCAAATTTATGACCCTCTTATTTAAATTTATGGAGTTCATACTTGACTTCCAGTGAGCTAGAATTTCATCTGTTACATCAAAACCTTGAGTGTACTTAACAAGCCTTAATAAAACATTTGGGTAGATATTATTATCAATTGCATCTCCATACAACTTCCAGATCGCTAAGCTGACAATTCTTTATCATTACACATTTTATGTGTTAGCTTAACATGCCTCTAAAATTTATCTCCTTAAATGTACTCAACAAGAGATAAACTTTAGTTAAGTCGAACCCATCATTTAGAAATATCCAATATTTCACAGTGTCAAACATATCCCTAATAGACCAGCCTTGAGTGTACTCAACAAGTTGAGACGATTTGAGACTCTGGTTTTCACTATAATGATGGAAGGCGATTACAAACGTGACTTAATATTTTATTGAAGGATTTTGCATCCAAAAGTCTCATCGTAACAATCATATATGTTGTATTACACATCTCCATGCTATATATATAATGTAATGTAATAGTGTGAACGATTATGAACTTTTACTATTTAGTCTTTTCGAGCCGTAAGGAAGACTAGTTGGTCAATTCCTATGGGGTATCGCATTGATTCATACAATACTCCATCTCCATGGTTTCCTCCTCTTCTTGTTTCTTCAATAAGTCCAGATGCAACATGTATCCTATACTAGTCAACACGCAAGCTTAAATAAAAATGGACTTGTAGGCCCAAAATAATAATAACGGACTCACAGATCCACAATAATAACAATAATAATGGACTCGCAGGCTCAAAACAATTAAGAGCTCGTAGGCCCATAAAACAATAAGAATAAAATTAATCATTCAACATATCCATATGGTCGAATCCATAATCATCCACTAATAAAACATTCATCACATAAATGTATACATATATAATAAATAATATTATATGCAAACACGTTTTAAGTTTTTAACAATTAAGATCGTCTAAACTGTTTTAGACAAATGGATCGGAACAATTAAATAACTAATCAATCATATTAATCAATTAATTTAATTAGTGGGCATATTTAATTAAAATCAAATTTTAAATATTAAATTAGAGTCAAACTCTAATTCCACAATTATAGGGCGGGACTATTTAATTAAAATCACATTTCAATTAAATATCAAATTAGAGTCCAACTCTAATTTTAAAACTTAATGCGATTGAATTTAATTAAAATCAAATTTTAATTAAATAACAAAATTATAGTTCAACTCTAATTCAAGATTTTAGGGCGAACATATTTAATTAAAATTAAATTTTAATTAAATGTCAAATTAGAGTCTAACTCTAATCTCAAGAAGAAATTTAGGACGAGACAACTTAATCAAAATCAAATTTTAATTAAATGTCAAATTAGAATCCAATTCTAAAATCAAGAAATGCTAGGGTGAATTATTTAATTAAAATCAAATTTTAATTAAATATTAAGTTAGAGTCCAACTCTAATTTCAAGGAAAATTTTACGGTAAGACAATTTAATTAAAATAAAACTTTAATTAAATGTTAAATTAGAATCCAATTCTAATTTCTAGAATATATTAGGGTGAATAATCAATTAAAATCAAATTTTAATTAAGTATTAAATTAGAGTCAAATTCTAATTTAAATTGAATTAATATTTTGATACAGGATAACACTCCTAAATAAAATAAAAATTCAATTTAGGGTCAAATTTAATATTTAAGTTAAAATCATATTTTAACGAAAATATGAAAAAGTCGTCAATTTTAAATAAAATTTTAATTTGGGTCAAAATTAAGATTATGGGTCAAACCCATTTAAAATATAATTTTAAAACCACTTTAAAATTCAAATTCAAAACCATTATGAAAATTGCAATTTGACCCAATTAAAATTTATTAACAGGCCCCTCAAATTCTCAAATTGCAAGAAGGCCCTCCATTTTAAAATAGCAATTTTGATCCCATTAAAAATTTGCAACAGAGCCCCTTCATTTAAAATTGCAAAATGACCCTTTACATAATTGCATGCGAGGCCTATAATTTCATAAATTGCGTGACAGGCCCCGTCCCCAAAACTCTCCACCCGTTCTCTGGACCCTAGAATACCCAAATTTTTCTTATTTTAAGTGGCGTCGGCGCCCCCACCTCTCTAGCTCAGGCGGCCGGCTCTTTCTTTTAAGTGCTGCTTCAGCAGCGGCATTGCAATCGCTGCCCGCATCTTGCCCAGGCGCCACTCAGACTGCAGCGGCCCCTACTGCATCAAACAGCGGTCACGAGCCATCACCGGCTTCCTCCCCACCAACCTCCATTTTTTTTTTTTGGATCCGTTTCACTTTCAAAATCAGATTTTAAGATTATAAAAACTAATTTATAAGCAGTGAACCATCATCCTCTCTTTTAAGATAGTAGTGATGGTGATAATTTATACATTATTATGTCGTAAGTACTAAAAAAAATACATTTTTTGTACTTTCCATTAAAAATAGAGAAATGTTAAATATTTTTTTTTTTTTAGTTAAGATCATTTAAATCTAGTAGCTCAAAAAATATATTTAGAGCCTATTTGGTTTGAATTAAAATTTGATTTTAATCTAAATCAAAGTTAAACAATCAATATTAATCACATCTTTTATTAATCTCACAACTTTTCAATCACGTATTTCAAAAATTTCTATCACAATTTACTAAAAAAAATTAATTTTAATTTCCATCAAATATCCTTTTAGTGATTGTTTGGGGGATACATTATAATCAATTCAAATTATAAATAGAAAAAATGAATAGTAAATAAGTCGATATTGCCTATAAATTTCACGAAATGTGAGGACAAAATATAAGTTTGAGTAATTATATTTATAAATTAAATAGGTGGCAAACAAATGCTTGCTTGCCCATAATTTTAGATTTTTAATCTAATTCAAACAGACTTCTAAAAATTAATATATTTTGGATGGTTTCATTTCAATTGAATTATTGGCTGACCATATAATATATTTGGATAATTATCAATTTATCACCTCCCAGTGATGTTGAACCATACATTTCACTTGAAGACTAATGTTCAAAGTTGGGAACAGATTTTCAACGCAGCCGTCGAAGAGTGAAGACAAATCCATAATACATAAATGATGATTTAATTCGCCCACCTACTCCACTCTTATTTGGTTTTAATTCTTCAGTCGTCACTGCAAACGTGTAATCTAAGCATCAATCATCTTTATTATTAACACAAAGTAGTCACTCTCACTCACACAGTGAAGGAGAAAGCCGTCCAGTTCCAGGATGAGTAATGGAAGAGGGAAGGTGGTTTGCGTAACAGGCGCTTCGGGATACATAGCTTCATGGCTGGTTAAGCTTTTACTTGACCGTGGTTACACTGTTAAAGCCACCGTCCGCAACCTCAGTCAGTCCCCGTCTCTCTTTCTTCACACAGAAAATAATTCATCTCACTGCATCCTGGTTATGAATAGATTCTGAATTTTGCACTGCCAAGTTGTTCTAGTTTTACATGTATGGTTAATGATGAAGACACAAGCGAGAAAGAACAGTAACAGGTTTTGATTCGTTGGTAGTGAATCAACGAGATTGAATTTGTGTTTGTTGTTTTTCATGCTTTCTCGCAGCATAAGCTAAGCTTTGAAAGTTTACATTAAATTTATTTACAAGAAAAAAAGAATTTTTTTGAGGTTTAGCCAAACAAGGTTTTGCAAATTGCTCACGTACTAGAAGTGAAACTAACTGTAGTGAAACTTGCGCATTAGATTTCTTAGGGTATGTTTGGTAAAGAACTTGTTATAGACGACTGACAATATTTTGCGAGTATTAGGCATTTGAAAGGAAATGAATTCGGTAAGAGTATACTAAGCCTCTTGTTTGGTAATGATTAAAATTTGAATTTTAATCTAAGTTAAAGTGAACAATAAATTTTAACCACATATTTTAGCCCCCGTTTGGTCTCCATTTTCTAGAAATGAAAATGGTTGGAATTGTATTTTTTTTGAAAAATGAGTGGTTAAAAAAGAAAGAAAAGTTTTCGATTTACGTGTAATATTATTTTATGGAAGATTGTGTGATTGAAAAATAGGAGAGAGAAAAATGTAATGTAATGTAATGAAATTTAATGGAGACCAGACAGGTGCTATATGCTTGGCAAGCTCGACTTCTCATTGTAGTAGAAAACATAGGAACAAATCAAACTTTTTAAAGAAACTTGTTTAAGTTATTTATTTGTATATAAGACCTTGATGATGCAGATTTTGGCCTTGATCAAATTGAAACTATTCTAATTAATGAAAAGAAAAAAAAAATTAATCTGTGGACATTGACAACAAAACATGTTAAAGCAGTTTATTGATAAGTTTGTGCAAAATTTTACCTTATTTGAGTGTACAAGTATTTTCTATTCAAACGCTTCATGTTAATTTTTCCCCTGCCCTCAAAATTTTCAAGTGCCTTTTATTAAGACTTGGGGTTCCTATTAGAAGTCAACATTGTTAAAAGGAGGATCCCAATCTCTTATATGCTCATCTATATATCAATATTTAACTAATATGGAATTTATCCCTTAAGATCCTGCAAGATAGTGACTCGTTAGAACAGATTAATCATGAAATTTGTGTGCTCAATTTTGAATTTTAATCGGATCAAATTGCTTGTTGGAATGTAATGAGGTCTGATATGATATTAGGACTTGAGATTCCATTTTAAAGGTCAATCTTATTTAGAGGAGTAGCGTAAGCCCTTATATGTTGGTCTATATTTTGAGATATAAACGATGTGAGATTTATCCCTTAACACCTTCAATGTTACAATAAAATGGTTATAAACTTTATAGGTCCTCGTTGCTGTAAGATTTTTTTAGATCATATGGCAATATGTAAATCGTTCATTTCATCTTCGAACAGGCACACAGGAATTCTAGATTTCTAAGATTCATGTAAGCCTTTTTTGAAGTCAAAATTGTTTAAGATTAATTTTTTTAATAAATAAAGGTTACCTCTCTAACATCTGTCAGATCTAACAAAAGTATTGATATGAGGCTGCAAAGCTACCCATCTATACATATGAAGCCTCTGGTAAAAAGGAAATCCTCATGCACGTGAGTTGACATTGTCAAAACTACATCTATATAAACAAATGTGTTCGATCTCTAACAGTTTAACACTTTAGATGAGGAGGTTATAGAAAAGAAGTGAGATGATAATTTTAAATAGTCAGAATCCAAATAATAAGAAAAAAGGTTCTATTTATATTGCGATGAATTTTTATTTTTTATTTTTTGTTGGAAACATTTTTTGTGCAATGCAGGCAACCCACACAGGAATTCTAGATTTCTAAGATTCATGTAAGCCTTTTTTGAAGTCAAAATTGTTTAAGATTAATTTTTTTAATAAATAAAGGTTACCTCTCTAACATCTGTCAGATCTAACAAAAGTATTGATATGAGGCTGCAAAGCTACCCATCTATACATATGAAGCCTCTGGTAAAAAGGAAATCCTCATGCACGTGAGTTGACATTGTCAAAACTACATCTATATAAACAAATGTGTTCGATCTCTAACAGTTTAACACTTTAGATGAGGAGGTTATAGAAAAGAAGTGAGACGATAATTTTAAATAGTCAGAATCCAAATAATCAGAAAAAAGGTTCTATTTATATTGCGATGAATTTTTATTTTTTATTTTTTGTTGGAAACATTTTTTGTGCAATGCAGGCAACCCAAGCAAGGTTGAACACCTGATGGCACTTGAAGGAGCTAAGGAAAGACTGCATTTGTTTGAAGCCAACTTAACGGAAGAAGGATCTTTTGATTCTGCAATTGATGGTTGTGAATGCGTCTTTCATACAGCGTCGCCTGTTTTCCTTTCAGTCACTGATCCTCAGGTCCCTAATACTAGTTTTCTTATCTATTATTCAGTTTTTGCACGCAGGGTTGATTTTATCATATAGTAGAACTATCTTGATGTGATTTCCGTAAAGGAAATTCCTCTTTTTACGATCTATCTATCTTCTTTTGCATTTGGGCTTGCTCTGAATTGTGTCTACTAACAAATACTGAAAATCTTCTGTTCAAACATCGTTTTGCACATTTCAGGCAGAACTTCTAGAACCTGCTATAAAGGGAACACTTAATGTTCTCAAATCATGCACAAAGGTACCATCAGTTAAACGAGTGGTTATAACGTCTTCTATGGCTTCCGTAATGAATAACGGGAGACCTCTAACTCCTGATGTTGTAATTGATGAAACCTGGTTTTCGAATCCAGCATTCTGTGAGGAAACAAAGGTGCGTATCATTCCTAGTAATCTACTTTAGAGCTTTACTCCTTTCTGTTATTCCGAATCTAACGATAGAAGTATGAATATGGCTCTTGAATTTAATGAAGACGCCGAGGAAAACTTCTTTTTCGATTTAATAAGAGAGAATTCCACGTAAACGGAGAATCATTAACGGTTTCTTCTTATTTTTATAATTGGTGAAGTTCCACTGGATCTGGATATAGCATTTATTCATTTGTGCTTAGGTTCATTTCGCACCCCATAATTTTTTTTTTCAACGTGCCTATTCAGTACTTTTGAATTACTGATTGATTGATGGTAAAAGGAACCTGGCCTCTTTTCTGGGAATAGTTTTAAAGAGTTACTTCTCAATAAACTATTGGTTGTTTCAGCAATGGTACCCTCTTTCGAAAACCTTGGCAGAGGAAGCTGCATGGAAATTTGCACATGAAAATGGCATTGACTTGATAATTTTGCATCCTGGATTTGTTATCGGTCCTCTGTTGCAGCCAACTCTCAATTTAACTTCTGAGGCTATTTTGAACTTCATTAAAGAAGGTATTATTCTTTGTATAGGCATTCTGAACAGTGGCTTTGATAAATCTTTCTACGTGGACTTTGTCCTTAACTACTAAATGCTCAATTTTATCATTTTGTAGGGAAAGAAATTTTTCCTGATGGAATCTACAGATATGTTGATGTTAGAGATGTTGCTCATGCACATATTCTAGCATTTGAGAATCCTTCAGCTAGTGGCAGATACTGTCTAGTTGGAATAGTGACATATTCTTCTGAAGCTCTAAAGATTTTAAATCGGCTTTTCCCTTCCCTCAACCTCCCTGCAAAGTAAGTCTTTAATATGCACTATATTAATCAGTAACAAGTTTTCTTGCTCTTTTATGAATTAATATTTTCAAATTATTCATTGCAAATTTCTTAAGTTATGGCTAAAGCAGCGTATTTCACTCAAGTTAAAATTCTTGGATTTGGTTTTTCACAAATCGAGGTAAGATACTAAAATGGTATATATCTATGTACTCACTAGTAATAAAAGTAACATTCAGCTAACGCTCGCGTTAGATGAGTTGTGTCCGTCTTATTAAGTTTTATCATATCTATGACTTATTCTGATTGATGAAGAGGAAAAAGGAGGGAAAAAAAATGGAAGTTTGGGATCAAACCTAGATGATAATAGCATAAACTCGAGTAGTGATAGCAAAAAAACCCGCCCTAATCCCGCCCCGTGATTTTTTTTTTAATTTCAAGTTATATTATTATTAGATAATAAAATACAAATGTAAAATTTTAATTAATTACAAAAAAAAATAAAATTTAGTCAAAACGTAATTTTATTTGAAATTGTTTAATTTTTAACATTGTTTATTTCAAGTGTTTACTTTGAATTTTAAAATTTTGAATTTATATTTTATTCTCTAATAATAACATAATTTGAAATTAAAAAAAAATAAAAATACTGTTGTCACGCTTTTCTATTAATTATCACTTTATGCTTATCTTAAATTATTAGGGCAAATAAATCTTTTAAATGGATATTTTTTTATGGAATCAGATAAAATGTGCTTTGTAATGAAAGGTTGATTGTAATTTAATACAATAAGTGTAATGCAACACAATGACAAAGTACCACGATTTGCCAACATCAGTAAACTTTAAACACGAGTTTTATTCATATACTAAAACACATCACCATAAAACTTCATACGCCTTTAACAGGCTTAAAGAAAAAACATGCATAAAAGTTTGAAGCAAAAGTAAGCATGGAGTTTGGAACATTCAATAAGACCAAAACATTCAGAAACCGCCTCTGAGACGGAGAACAAGGTGAAGGGTAGATTCCTTCTGGATATTGTAATCAGCCAAAGTCCTTCCATCATCCAGCTGCTTTCCGGCAAAGATCAACCTCTGCTGGTCTGGTGGGATCCCCTCCTTGTCCTGGATCTTAGCCTTGACATTATCTATGGTGTCAGAGCTCTCCACCTCGAGGGTAATAGTCTTCCCGGTGAGCGTTTTGACGAATATTTGCATACCACCACGAAGCCTCAACACCAAGTGAAGGGTAGATTCCTTCTGAATGTTGTAATCAGCCAATGTACGTCCATCTTCAAGCTGCTTACCAGCAAAGATTAGCCTCTGCTGGTCTGGAGGAATACCCTCCTTGTCCTGGATCTTGTTTTTATTTTTTTTTAAAAAGTGATGAATTTAAAAAAAGTGACGTGTTTGCATTGCCATCTACATCTTGAAATCTTAATATTTATATTACGTTATCTTAATTATTTGTTTGGGTCCATATACATGATCTCTTTGATCAAGTATGTTTCTCTTAGAGTAGGTTGATGTAGTATATTTATTTTCTTAAAACTAAGTTTGAGTGGATGAGAAATTAAGGTCAAAGTAAGCCACCTAAAAGTTAGAATAGTTGGAATTAGAAAATAGTGAAAAAAAAATGAAATGGTCAATCACGTATTGAAAAATTAGAAGCACTTTGATCACATTAAATAGCTCAAGTTTTACAATGCGAACACTCTTTGGAAGAGAGAAGACCTACGTGGTAGTGGATTGGACCATCCATGCACTCTGTCGCCTATCACTTTATATTTTTTTCATGAGATAATATATTTATTTAATTATATTATTATGAATACATATCGAAATTATGAGATTTTGACAAGTGGATTGGCAGGATTTTGCCACGTATTCTTGAATTCTAGAAAATGTGGTTGTTTATTTAAGTAAATCCATCTTTTCGCTTCTTGTACTATTTCACTATCTTTATTTCAATACCTAAAATCACATTGTGCATATTTAAAGTCATTCAATTCGGTTCAGAAAGATCAGAACATTGGTAGGCTCGTTGGTTATGTTATTTGGAGTGTTATTATTACAAGGCATGTTCGTTGTATTTTGGGTGTGATAATGAGATTTATAGAAAATGAATTTACACACACATTAATTTTTCGAACAACACCTTCTGTATAATGAGATTCAATCCAAAACTTCTAAACAAGGAACTTAAAAAGCAAGAGACAGGATGTTAGAGAATGCTATCCTTCATAATTTTTTAGCAGGTAATTTTCTGCTTCTAACAGATAATAATTTATCAGCGATCTTGTCCACAAAAAATAGCCATCTCTCCATCACTCCATGGTTTTTTAATACTAGGATAACTAAGGAATGATAATACCTGCTGCAAATCCTAGGCCAACGGTGATGTGTAAACAAAAATGCATTATCTAATAATATATTTAGCAATTATAGAAAGAATAAACAGAAAATTAAGACGAGGTTCATAACAAGAATGAAAGAGTTCATAGAAGATATGCTAAGGGCAACTCCAACCATTGCACCAAATTGCACCAAAATTTGGTGCAAACTTCCTCCAACCATTGCACCATTGCACCGATCAGCCTATGCTTCAGAGTACGTTTGGTCTCACATTTTGAGATCATTTTAAATTTTTAGTTTTTAAAAACATTCAAAATGTGTTTGGTATGTTATTTTTAAAAAATGCGTTTTTTGAAAACAAAGAAAATTTTAAAATACAAAATTCAAGATGAATTTTTGATGTTTCGAGTGTTTTCATTGAAAAACTCAAAACAAGGAAAATAAATTTAAAAATTTCCCCAATTAAAATAATTAATAAAATCACATAAAACTTACCTAAATACAAATATTCATCTCCAATCCCTCTTTCTCTCTCTTCCGATGCTCCTCCAAAATATCATAAAACTATTTCTAATATTTTTAAATCAAACGTGTTTTCTAATTTCTTGTTTTAAAAAACAATTTTTTTAGAATGACAAACCAAACTCATTTTTTGCAATTTTAAAATAATCTCTCAAAACAGAAAACGAAAAATGAATTCAAAATTGAAATGGAAAATAGAAACGCAAATCAAACGTACCCTAAGGTTCTTGATGAGGATGAAAAGGTATGAATAGAAACCTTTTGGTGCTTGTTTGGTAGGAATTTCGATAATTGATTTTTTGACTGTTAAAGAAAAAGTAGGTTCTACCCATGAGAAAATAATTAAAAAATGATAGCTACAATAGTGAAATAACAGTCAAAAAATTGATTTTAATTGGCTTAAATTATGTACCAAACAAACACTCAATGAAAAGAATAGGAAATACAATACATATACAGACTGATTAGGAACTACAATACATATAAAGACTAATTTGGCTTCGATAATATAGATATAAAACAGAGCCTTCATAAATTTTAAAAAGAATAATTGTAGCTTCGATCCAGAAACTTTCATCTTTTCGTAGACTTTAATCAAATCTTTCATTTGTGCCTTCTAGTCTCAAACTTTAATTTAGTCGCATCATAAGGGAAAACTAAAAGAGTATGTCAAATACACCAGTGATTGACCAAAAAACTTGACTTTGACCTCATTTTGACCAACTAAAAGGAGTAAAATAGTTACTTTAGATTTTTCATATTAAACAACTAAACCATAAATAATAATAATAATAATAATAATAATAATAATAATAATAATAATAATGAAAAAAAGAAAGAAAGAAAGAAAACAAACAGAAACCATGATCTTCTTCCCACTCCCACTCCACCTAACCCCAGCCAAACAAACCAAAATCCACCCACCTCCAACGTGCCAACGACCACAACCGACCCACACAAGTTGCAAGGTAACGTCCACCACCCGATCTTAATTTATTAACTGGAGCTAGACATGATCTCAATTTACATGTTGGGGCTTGACTAGTTCTCAACTATTCTATTAAGATTGGCTAGGAGTTTGCTCTCGAATTTATGCTAGAAAAGGGCGAATCCGGGGCAACACATTTTCCTAAATTCCTCTAATGAGCCAAATAGTGCAACTGTGTATATGAATGTAAAATCTAAAGTTACTATTTTATCCTTTTTAAAGTTGGTTATAATTTGATCAAAGTCAAATTTTTTTGTCAACTAATAGTGTAGTTGATGAATTCTGTTGGTTTGTCATTATGATACAACTAAATTAAAAGTTTGGGATTGTGGGTAATACAAATGAAAGATTTGGATAAAAGTCTGAAAGAAGATGAAATGTTTGGGACTGTGATTGTAATTATTCCATTTAAATATGAGGTTGGTTTGGAATATGAAGAACAAGAATCTAAAATTGAACATAAAATAGAGCAAGGTAGTGAAAATTTTAGATTTAATAGAGATTTGCATCTGTCGTGGCTAATATATAGTGCACCTATTTTAGAAGTTTGTGCACAAGTTTGCTCCTTTTCATAGGTAGGGACCAATTTCTAATTATGCCAATAGGTTGGGCACTAACTATGCAAATTTCACAGAAGAGAGGTGGAACAAATTTATTTGTTTATATTTAATAGTTTATATTGAATATATTTATTGTCACTCTAACTCAATAACTTAGAATTGTAATACGTAAAAGTACGTGAGAAACGACACTCGAGTTTCAATTCCTTTACTTTTCTTCATTACATTCCCTGTTTGGTGGCTATCATCTTGAAAAAATAATGTTTTGAATAGTAATTTTTAAGAGAATGTGTAAATAAAAAGTAAGAAAAAATTTTGGGTTTACGAGAAAAATATTTTATTATATGGTTGAAAACGGTTGTGTTAAAAAAAAAAGAGTTTTAAAATGATGATTGTCAAACATGTATAATTATATGAGTGATGTTATTTGTAGTAAAAATTACCGATAGCCACCCTACGTGACATCATAACAGTTTGTATTTGATGTATTATGGTGACAATTTTTCATTATCTAATGCATCAAATTACAAATTATCGTGTGTATGTCACGTAAAACAACTACCATTAATCTTCACCGTGAATAACATTTTTCTAATAATATTGTTCTCATAATTACAATTTACACAATACTATTTCCTTACTGCTAATAAATAACATATTTCATTAGTTTAGATTAAAAAGACAAAAAAAGTATGAAACACTCCTATAGAAACTTTTAAAATATAATTTATATATTATTATGTCCTAATAACTAAAAAAAAGTGTATATATATATATATATATACACATTTTGCACTTTCAATTAAAAATAGAGAAATGGTAAATATGTATTTTTTTAGTAAAGCCCATTTAAATCTAGTTGCTTAAAAGTATATTTAGTGATTGTTTGGGGAACACGTTATATATATATACACACACACACACATTTTGCACTTTCAATTAAAAATAGAGAAATGGTAAATATGTATTTTTTTAGTAAAGCCCATTTAAATCTAGTTGCTTAAAAGTATATTTAGTGATTGTTTGGGGAACACGTTATATATATATACACACACACACACATTTTGCACTTTCAATTAAAAATAGAGAAATGGTAAATATGTATTTTTTTAGTAAAGCCCATTTAAATCTAGTTGCTTAAAAGTATATTTAGTGATTGTTTGGGGAACACATTATAATCAATTCAAATTATAAATAGAAAAAATAAATAGTAAATAAGTCGATATTATCTATAAATTTCATGAAATGTGTGGACAAAATATAAATTTGAGTAGTTATATTTATAAATTAAATAGGTGGCAAACAAATGCTTGCTTGCTCATAATTTTAGATTTTAAATCTAGTTGAAACAGACTTCTAAAAAATTAATATATTTTGGATGAAATTGAATTATTAGCTGACCATATAATATATTTGGATAATTATCAATTTATCATCCCCCAGTGATGTCGAACCATACATTTCATCTGAAGACTAACGTTCAAAGTTGGGAACAGATTTTCAACGCAGCCGTCGAAGAGTGCAGACAAATCCATAACCCATAAATGATTATTTAATTCGCCAACCTACTCCACTCTCATTTGGTTTTAATTATTCAGTCGTCACTGCAAACGTGTAATCTAAGCATCAATCATCTTTATTATTAACACATAGTCACTCTCACTCACACAGTGAAGGAGAAAGCCGTCCGGTTCCTGGATGACTAATGGAAGAGGGAAGGTGTGTTAATTAGGTTCCTCAAAATTTAGTCAAAAATTGGAAGATTGCGTGTTGTCTTGTTTTAGGAATGAATCATTAGAGTCAGGTGAAAAAGGAAAGAAATCAATTGCATCTAAAATTAAGGAAATAATATTTGGGTTCCGAATTTCTTTCTTTTACGTGGTTATTCTTAATTTTCATATTTTAGCCAAGTTTTAGGGTTTGACTCGTGTACTATAAATATGTGACTCCTCTTTCAGTTTAGTTTAAGTCAAATTGCTGTGTCGTTGTAATTCTCTTCATATTGTCGGGTTTAATAAAATTCATCATTCCTCTGCTTAAATTCTCTTCCTTCTTTACTTTAAGTGTTGTTCTTGATATTTTGTGATCTTGTTTATTACTTCAAGTGGTGTTCATTAAATCTCAATTCCTACATTATCGGTCATTGGTCCCAGGAAGTGGTATCAGAGCAGGGGTTGTAGGTTCTTCGTGATTTCGTTGAGATTTTTTAAGGATGAATTCTCTGAAGTATAAAATTCCGCTGCTGGATAGCAATATAAGATTTTCGTTGTGGCAAGTACAGGTGAGGGTTGTGTTGACGCAAATGGATCTTGACGAAGCTTTGTTGGATTTTGAGATGATGCCAGCAAATTTGTCTGTGAAGGAGAAATAATAGAGAGATCAAAAGGCTCTAGCGCAAATTCATTTTCACTTGTCCAACAATATTTTGCAGGATGTCTTGAAGGAGAAGACGGTGACTACTTTGTGGCTCAAGCTAGAGCAGTTGTGTATAACTAAAAGTCTTACAAGTAAATTAGCTCTCAAGCAAAAACTGTATTCACATCGCATGGTGGAAGGAGAGTCGTTGGAAGATCATATTGCTGTGTTCAAGGAAATAGTTACAGATCTGGATACGTTAGAGGCTAGGTACGATGAAGAAGATCTTGCCTTGATCATGTTGTGTTTGCTGCCTGGATCTTATGCGTCGTTTCGAGATACTATCTTGTATAGTCGAGATACTTTGACTATAGAAGATGTCTATGATGCTTTGCACTCAAAGGAGAAAATGAAGCATTTAGTTGGAGCTACATCAAGAGATGGGGAAGCTCTTGTATCTCAAGGTGGTCGACGAAGAGGCAAATCGAGAGTTAGATTTAGCAATGTGACCTGTTACTACTGCAAAAGGAAGGGACATATCAGGAAGGAATGCGATATATTGCAGGCTAAAGGTGATTTAGCTGCAAATCGTAGGGTGCAACCTTTGAATTTAACCAATGTAGTTGAGAATTGTTCAGCAAAGAGGTGATGTTGACCGTGGTATCTGATGTAAAGTCTAGGCCTGACGAGAAGTGAATTCTTGATTTAGCATGTTCGCACCATATGTGTTCCGATAGGAATTTATTTCGGACATATGAGGTTGTTCAGCAATGTGGAGTTGTAATGGGAAATCACTCTAGTCAGATTGAGGCTGCGGGATGGAACATTTAGAACAATTGATTATGTTCGATATGTTCCTGACCTGAAAAGAAATCTCATTTCGCTAAGTACCCTGGATGCAAAAGGGTATAAAATTTCTGGAGGAGGTGGAGTCTTAAATGTTTGAAAGGGAGTCCGAGTTGTGCTGGAGGGACGGAAAAGATCCCAGTTGTACATTTTGTAGGGGAGTGCAAAACCAGTTAAGAGGAGACATTTGAACAAGTTTAGTACCGTGGTGGAAGTTTAGTTTGGTACAGTACCTCTTGTGTCGGGCTCTGAGTCGATTAAGAACAGTTCTAGGGAGAGCGTTGGTGATTCCGTTTTGCCACCAATTTCAGCGAGTACACCGTATTCAGTTGTTGGGGAAGGACTCATCCAGCGCAGGTATCGTGGTGTCAGCAATGTCTAGGATGCTTCTAGAGACGTTGAAGGCAACAGTTCCAATAAGGGGCCTTCTGATCAAGCATCTGGTTTGGTTTTTGCTACAGGGTGTGCTTTAGCCCTGTATGATCAACATTAATTCCTTGGTGAAATTGGAAACCCTGGGGATTGGGTTTGGGTATCAGTTGCAAATGTCGAGCAGGGGACGAGTGTTTGGTTTATATTGAGTGGTTACCGTGTTGAGGAGATTCGGTCAGTTAATTTCGATGCAAATGAATTTGAAATCTAGGAGTTTCGTTTGTAGCACCGGAATTTGAGTCAAGGTGGAGATTGTTAGGAGTATGACTCAAATAGAAGTCTTTTGAATAGGCGTATTCGACTTGGACTAGGAGAATATTAACCTAGGGTTTAAGAAAACTAAGTTGAATAAGTAAATGAAATCCTGTTGAAATTGGGTCTCCTAATTATAATAAATTTTCTTGCCTTTTAAGACTCTTCTAGGGT